GCATATTTTAGCATTCAGGCTGCAGTTTTAACAGAAGAAGAATATGTTTTAAAGCAGGCTTTCTTTAGCAGAGAGGCCTTTGATGTTTTCCTTTACAGCTGATTTTAGCTGCAGCTTGAAGCTCCTGATGTTTCCTCTGTTGGAGCCCGGCTGAGTGATGGCAGCTCAGTCTGCTGAGTTCAGCACTCGGCTTTATTGGTGTGAATGTGGAGGAGGGCGGGTGGCGATTAATACCAGACCACAGGGGCATTGTGGGTAGTTGTCTGCCTGGAAACAAGCAGCTCCTCTCTACGTTTTAGTTATTTTGTCCCTGGTATGTCTAAAGTTGGTTTTATAGAAAAAAAAAATCAAGACGTTCTTGATTACTTTAAACCAGCTAGCTGCTACAGCGTTAACAATTAGCATTACCAGCTAATAGTGCTGTACCAAACGATTATTTTCTAATCGATTAATCTAACGATATTATTAATAGAAAATAATTTGGCATTTTAAAAATGAAAAAAAAAGTAGAAAATCAAAAATATATTTATGAATTTTGTAAAAGCTCAAAACATGATTGATTACTTTTAAACTTAGCAATTAGCACTAATGGCTCGTGCTAACTGCTAGTTGCTGTTTACTAGCAGAAGTGTATACAAAAAGATAAAAACAAGATATTTAAATGTAAAATAAAGATAACAGACATAAATGTTTTGCGTGTAAAGATGTTATTCCTGTTTTCTGAGGGTTTTTTTTAAATAACACAACAGTTTTGGTTCTTTAGAGGCTCTTTGGAGGGAAAACTAACGATGTCCCTCCATAACTTTTAGTTTTCTGGCTTCACACATCTCTCTCAGACCACCTGTCTGTGAACAGCTGACAGGTTCCACCCAGGTTCTGTTTAAAAACGAGCCATCAGGGAGCGGCAGGTGAAACCTCCTGCTGGTGGGACTCAGGTGGCGTTTGTGGAACCATCAGGAATGATGATGTAATTTCCTGTTGGAGCGAAACGGAACGAGGATGGATGAACRTCGCTGCAGACGGAGAGTGATGGGTTGTGACAGCAGAAGGCCTCAGGCCCGATTCAACCCATTTTCCTCAGTAAAATACTGAACATGACATAAAACAATCAGGACTTTCTCATCCTGTTAGCTGAGCTTCACTGTTATTTGTTAAAAGCTTTTGTGAAATGTAGTGTTTTACAGTCAAAATCCCCTCCGTTGTTGCTTTTCCAACAGATCAGATCAGGAAATTTAAGACCCAACTGTGTTGTCGTGCTTGGATTAACTTCAGCTGCTGTCAGAACGGCTGCCAGGAAATATGGTTTCCAAAGTGCTACAGCTAGCTGCTGCTGCTGAAACAGACTTTTTACACATTTTCCACTGAAATTGACTGATGTAAGGCAAACCATCTGGAAACGGAGGCTGTGGGATTTTAAAATAGTTAAAAATGTACAAAAAACCTATAGAGAGATGGATGGGTGGATGGATGGATGGATTTGATGGATTTGATGGATGGATGAATGGATGGATTTATGGATGGATGGATGGATGGATGGATGGATGGATGGATGGATGGATGGACAGACAATAAAAAGGATGGATGCATGGATGGATGGATGGATATGGATGGATGGATGGATGGATGGATGGATGGATGGACAGACAATAAAAAGGATGGATGCATGGATGGATGGATGGATGGATGGATGGATGGATGAATGGATAATTGGATGGATGGACAGACAATAAAAAGGATGGATGGATGGATGGATAATTGGATGGATGGATGGATGGACAGACAAAAAGGATGAATGCATGGATGGATGGATGGATGGATGGATGGAAGGATGAATGGATAATTGGATGGATGGATAGACAATAAAAAGGATGGATGATGGATGGATAATTGGTTGGTTTGATGGATGGATATATAATTGGATGGATTTGATGGATGGATGGATAAT